AATAGACAACTTGGAAATGATTGAAAGAAGCTAGGAATAACAGGCTACATGTATGTTTCTATTTATATGAAATGTCCTGAACAAGCCAATAACAAAACAAAAAACAAAAACAAAAAGAAGGTCAGTGTTTGCTATGGCAGCAAGGAGGGAAGGGTGAGTTTCTTTCAGAGGAAATAGAATATCTGGAAATTAGTGATGGCTGTATAACACTGTGAACATATTAAGAAACCACTGAACTCTTTTATATAGTAGATTTTGCTAGGAGCTTAAATCTCAATACAATTTTAAGTGACTATATGTATGTATGTGTATTTGTAGATCAACATAAGTCACTGGAAGGAAAAGGGTTAAAATGCACAACACTATTTGAAAGGATCTATGTATGAGAATGAAATTTTAAAAGAAATAGCACTTTGGGGAGGGGGTTGTACTATTTTTTTCCAGGCATTAGTACTTTGTTTTTTTTCATTTATCAAAACTTATCCTAAAATCCTTCTCTTCAAAAATGCAGATATCTCATCATTGCTCTACCTCCCATGCCCACTCTGCAGGTTTCTTGACATTATATAAACTAATAAATAAAATCTACTCATTATAAATACCCAGTTAATTAATTTTTAGTAAACATACACATGAAAGTTCTCTACTGCTCATTTTCAGCTAGACCCATCTCCCACCTCTTGAAAACTTCTAAACTGTTGTCTCTAAGTTTTCCTTTTCTAGAAATTTATATAAATGGACCATCAAGTGGTCTCTTTTGTTTCTTTTTGGCTTGGCATATTGCTGAGCTCATTCACATTGAAACTGTTTATGAAAACAATCCTATTACTGTAGGAAAGTGTTCATTTTTACCATGATAGTACAATCGAAAAAAAGGAAATAAAGGTGTTCCTATTTAGAAAATTAAAAGAATGAAAAAAGCATTATAGAACCACTGTGAAATGACTGCAAATTTTTGCAATACTGTCAAAGACCACAAAACAAAAAACCAAGCACAAGAAAACACATCATTAAATTTCAGTAAGACAAACTTTAGTATTTTAACCATTCTTTTCTTTTGCCACAATCAGTACAAACCAGGTAGGAAAAAAATAGTATAATGTACAGGCATTTAAAATGTTTCCATTGAGCACTTTTTCAAATTTGTATTTATTCTGTGCTGCAAGTGTTGAAAACTACCCCAAACACCCTAATACTTAATTATTCACCCTGATTCAGTGCTAGTTTCAGAAATAAATCAAATTTATATATGCAAGGTAAGCTTAATTAGTCAAGCTTACAAGAATGTAATACCCAATTTTTAGAACTTAATGTGCTCAAGAAAGTATTTGTGCTTTTAAATTAGGAGAATGGTTCTATAATTAGTCCTCATTTGAGTATATAATCATTTTAATTTATTTGCACAAATACAGGACATTGTGCTCCACCAGCAGATAATGTTCTTCATTAACATGAGTAGGAACTTTGTACACAAAGGCAGAAATATTTCTATCTGTGATGCCAAATCAGAACTGCATACTATTGACATCATTCTTCAGTTTTTATGGTCATATGGGCATACTTACATACTTGTTAATAATAGTATAACATTCTTTTGGCTAAGTATACGGCCAATCTCTAGAAACCAACAATTTAAATATTTAATAATTTTACTGATTATTATTATAAATGGGTAATTGTTAAAGACAAAACAGGAAATTCCAAATAGCAATAATGGAGAAATTTCAGTAATTTGTAAGATAGAGAGGCAGGGGTTATACAAACTTTTTTTTGGATTAGTAATAAAAAAGAATAACAACCTAGATTGTAGAGGTGAGACAAGATTTGGTTTAGGCTGTGTTGAAATAATCACTATATACTGAACACTGAACACAGATAAGATTCTCATCTATTCATTAAAGAATAATGAACTGTTCTGTTGACATTTTTTCCACATAAAATTTGACATATTCTTGCTCTCTCTATGTTGTAGATACATTTGAAAAGATACATTTTAAAATTTATTTCTAAAGGTTTTAAAACAAGTATATCATTAGGCACAGATGAATTGTTTGACAATTGTTCACATCAAGTTTCCTTTCCAAACTGGAATTTGTAAAGATGGCAATTGTCTGATAACTAGTAGTTGGCCTTCGATATCACAAAGTGCTCAAGTGGGCTGTGGCTTAAGAGTGATTTAACCTGAGTTATTATTTGAATTTTATTAAGTCTCATTTCAAAGTCAATCCCTGCACTACTTTTTGGTAAGTCTGCTTCATGCCATCAGTGTTAATGTCTGCACTATGGTTTTCTATATTGTTTTGAACACTTCAGGCCTTACAAAAGGTTAACGCTATGTTTTATATATATATAAAACATAAACATATTTATTTACACATGTATATAAACATGTACTTGTGTATATATGCATGTGTATTTAAATATATATTTATATACACACACATATATATGTGTGTACATATACACATATGGTTTCCTTCCTCTTTTAAGGCAGCAGCCACTTGTCTGATTCATTAAATTAGATCTGCACCATTTGATTTTCTCAGCAGAAAAATAATCTGCTATGTGATCATGATCCCATTTTCCATGATATAGTATATCTTATAGGATAACAATTCTAACTTCTGTAGTTTTCTGTTCTGTTCAAAGTTCTAAATTTTCCCAATTGTATGGAGAGGAAAGCATATAACTTCCTCCTGAGAGGAGGAAGTTCCTGTTTTTGTATAGGCAGAACTACAAATGTAACCATGTAATTTTAGTGAGTGAGGCATTTTAGCTTTGGATCATATTTAAGCTGAACATGGTCTACTCAGATTAAAACACATACTTTCACAATACCAATTTTAGAATAATATATTTACATAGTATTCAGAATCATGTCATTAGATACAACTTAGAAAGCATCTTTGATTGGATACAAGTACGCCAGGATGGCACTTTGAATTTATAGAATTTCAGAACTTTAGCTAGATGTAGTGTGTACACATGTAATCATGTAATCCTGGTTTATGAGACAGGCGGATGGTGAGTTCAAGGCCAGTCTGGGTCAAAAACTGTCTCAAAAATGGAAAAAAAATGACCCCCCCCTCCATTATCTACCTCTATGGTGGGTTTCATTCCTATGCCCTAAGTTTTCCCTAGCCTTATGATTTTACATACAAAACATGTAATATTTGTCTTTGAGTGTGGTTTATTTTGCTCTAGTATTACATTCATTTTTCCTGTAACTGACACAATTTTGTTCTTCCTAATGGCTATGACAATACTATGACTATGACAAAACTATGAGTATACCTGTTAAAAGGCATTATGAGTTCATACTGTATGTAACAGTAAGATTTATAGAATTTGCATCTGTGTAGGTATGTCTGAAGAACTTTTCCCACAGACTTAAATAGCTCCCCATATGTAGTTAACTTTGTGTCCTTGGCATGCATGTATGCATACACAACTAACATACTACTGTTCATGAACTTGCCATTCACCGAGTAGATGATGTAGAGGTAGGGTATGTGTCAAACTGTCACCCCTATAAGCAAGGTTCAGTTATTCAGTTCAATCATCATACTGTCTCTATAGTACCTAAAGGTATTTGTATGTTACTGACAGAAAATGGGCCCTAAACCAAACCTGGTATTTCACCTAGTACTTAACTCAAAAAAATCAACACTTGGTTTTAATGTTCAACAAAGGAAGATTGCTACATACTTTAAGACATAGTATACTAGTCTTTCATTAGTTTACTGTGTGTATAAATGTAATTATATTATTTTTTACATAAGGAGAATTTGATTAGGGAAATTTCAACTACAGAAGACTCCATGTAACCAAGCAAATTCAATTTATGCATCAAATGCACCTCTCCATCATGGCTGGGTTTGGTTTTTCTTTGGATGGGCCTTGGTGCTGTCCCTGAGTTACTTTTGCACAGACTAGCCCTCTGCCACTTGAGCCAGTGTCACTTCCAGCTTTTTCTGTGATTAGTTGGAGATAAAAGTCTCAAGGGCTTTTCTGCACAGGCTGGCTTCGAACCTTGATCCTCAAATCTCAGCTCCTGAGTAGCTAGGATTAAAGGCATGAGTCACCAGTGCCAAGCTATCATAGCTGTTTTGATAGAGCAATAGTTAAAATATTACACAGTTTAGCACCATATTAGTTTGGAGGTAAATAACAAAAAAATTCTCTACAGTGATTTGAACTAAAAACACTTTCAGAGGAAGGCAGCAGATAATTTGATCATATGTGGAATTTAGCATGTTCAATCTAAGATTTTAATTCCCAAAGCATCATGTACCCATTCATTATAAAGAACTTCATAGTAACAGAAGGCATTCATGTGTCTGCCTTAAGAACTGTGTTTATTATAATGAAAAGGCAAAGATGGTATCTGAGGATTACAATGAAAGTAATTTTTGTAAAGCAATTTTGTTAAGTTTGAAATCTTAACCTCAAAACAATTAGTTTTTCTCTAGAGGATTAGGAATTAACGACAAAAAATCCCCACCTATTTATGTGATATCAGAGATTAGAAATTAAAATCTTACAAAAATGTTATAATGTCATGTTATGCTTGAAACCTTGTTCTAAAAAAGTGTCATTAAGTCTGGATTTTTTATTACTTAAAGTGTGCTCTTTAAAAGGTAACATTTATCTGTACATACCAAATTTTTCTCGTTACCAGGCTTGGTTCACAATCAGAAGCAGTTTCTCAGAAAAAGCCAGTGATCAATCAACATATAGCATATAATTTTCTTACAGGTTCACTTGCAAGAGAATTAAAAACCAAATAAACTTAAGATAAGGAGAATATAAAATCCAATAAATTTAAGACAAGGAAAAATATAATTCAAAGTCGTTATTTCTCATTTTTCTTTCTTTTCTGTTTTTATGATTTCTATTTTAGAACTGTACGTTAAATTGGAAGTCAAAATCAAATCCTAGTTATAAAAAATGAGACACACAGAAGAGTGCTTTAATAAAAGTAAAGTCAACACAGTAAATGTAATTGGGAAAGTTTTAATTAATAAGCATCAAATAAATTTTACAATAACTGCAATACCGAATTGTAAAATTTCAAATTTTCCTCAAAATGTTAGCAATTTCCTTTCTTCTGGGAAACATGGAGATCCAACTAAGCATTAATGTGGCCAGTTGATGTTAACATTGAATCTAAGCAGCTATCCACATTTCATGTCTACAATAATGTAGACTGTGAATTTCTCATGTCTCTGATTTTTACCAAAAATTCTTGAGATAATTTATAGGAATGTCAAGTTTCTGAAGTGCAAACTCACAAAACCCTGCATACAGATTTCTGTTGTAATGTACTAACTTGAGACCATAGTAACTTTTCTAAGTCCTTGGAAAAGACTTGTGCAGTAAGACTTATTTCTTGTTTACTATAACTGCACTGTTTTTAAGAAAGACTATCAGCTTTGTGGTTGGTTTCCTAGTTGATAAAAATCTATCAAAAATGTAATTTTTAAGGAAAAAAGTTGTTTTTCAAAGGCTGCAAGATCAGGAAAGAAATAGCACTTCTTTTCTGTATAAACACAAACAATTAAAGCTAGCCACACTGCAGGGAAATCCATACAGTATTTGGATGTTCTATAAAAATGAACAAAAGACACATGTTCACTTCCAGTCTCCCACAGTCTACTGGAAATCTTGAAAGTTGCTCTGCAGCTGTTTGCTGGTCCAATTTTAGAGTTCAAAGTCCTTTTTGGCCCTCTGATGTCTGCATCCCAGATAAATTCAGTTCAAAAGACAGAAATCAGGGCAAAGACTCCATATAACAAAGCACAAGGATATGCTACTAGAAGCTGCTGTCCTTCCATGGCTAGTGCAGAAATAAAAATCTTGGAAGCAGAAAAACTACACCATCCAATAATCCCAGCAGTGAGAATGATTCCTATCATTCCTCTGGAAACAATAAAAAAGGGGATTGGGGAGGAAAGGGAAAGGAAAAAAAAGCAGATAACATTACACATAAGGCAAGAACACTAAAAAAAAAAAACCCCACCATCCTATTACAAAAGTATGACTTTTAGCATTTTACAAAATTTAGCAGTTTTTCAAATGTTAAAATGCATTCCTCAGAGAATTCAAGCATGTTGAACTATCCTTGTGATTAAAAAGTTCATTTATAGCTACATTTTGCTCTTTTAAAACCCAAGGTTTTACAACTTTGGTGTTACTGTTATTTGGGTTGCATGTATCTTTGCTGTAGGACATTGTTAGCATGTACAGTATCACCTGTGGCCTCTATCCAGGTGATATTAGCATACCTTTCCTCATGGCTGTCATACCAAAATTAATTGTCGCAACTTTTGGCTAAGCAACACTGTTTTAGTACAAACTTTAACTTCTGTAAAATTCAAATATCAACATAGCAATTATTAACAAAAGACAATAGATTTTTCAACAAAAGCCCAAAGAAGGAACAGTATAAAATCATCAACTTGCCAAATTTCTTGTAACCTCTTCTCTTGTACCTCCACTTTAAAACTTTTCAAGTGTAACTTTCTCAGTATAATAAAGCCTAATCACTAGTAATGTCCCGTACTAGCCACAAGGAGGTGCTTGAACTCTTGCCAAAGAATACACAATGGCCACAAGAAGAGCTACGTTAGCAATAATTTACACTTTTGATTTTGATATAACCTAAAATATCACAAAGATACCTTCAAGTACAGATGAGAGCCTAAATACTTTTTTGGGGGGGGGGAGGGGGGGTTCAGTTGTGGAGCCTGAACTCTGGGCCTAGGCACTGTCCCTCAGCAATTCAGCTCAAGGCTAGCACTCTTGAGCCACAGCGTCACTTCTGGCTTTTTTCTTTTTGCTTATGTGGTGCTGAGGAATCGAACCCAGGGCCTCATGCATGCAAGGCAAGCGCTCTACCACTGAGCCACCTTCCCAGCCCAGCCTAAGTACTTCTAAAAAGAGGACAATAACAGCCAATTGTCACAAAAGATAAGGGTTTCATTACCAAGTTATAAAAATGGCGAATAGGGAATATGCATTTATTACACATACAATTTCAATAAAGCATATAAGAAGATAAGCACAATTTTCACACTGACGTTAATGTTTTTCCATTTCTTTTTCTTTTTTGGTCGGTCAGTCATGGGGCTTGAACTCTGGGCTTGGGCGCTGTCTCTCAGCTCAAGGCTAGTACTCTACCACTTGAGCCACAGCACCAGGCTTTTTCTGTTGATGTGGTACTGAAGAATCGCACCCAGTGTCTCATGCATACAAGGCAAGCACTCTACCACTGAGCCACCTTCCCAGGACAAGATCTTAAAATTTATTCCTACTATCTCTGTTCATCACTCAAAAGCATACAGAATAGACTCACCTATACAACATGTTTGTTGAACTGAAGGTGAGGTAAATGCTATTAACATAGAACTGGTTATTATCAATCCCAAGATAAAGATCAATACTTACTGTAAAGAAAATATTACTGCAAAGCTGGAAAGTAGGATCATGGGAAGAAGACAATATCCAAGGACACTTGCCACACAACCAAATGAAACACCTGTCATACTCATCAAGTTTAACAAACAAAACATTCCTAGACAGCCAATTGCACTGATCCCATATACATAGCCAAACTGGATTTTGCCAGCCTAGGAATAAAGAAAAGATAACAGGTTAAGTGGAAGAAGTCAGTTATTTAGGGCCTTATTTCACCTAAAATGGCACAAATAGAAAAGATTCAATTTGTGAATACCAAAAATCTATACAACTATATACTGTTTGTTCAGAAATTGAAAGAGTAGACTAGTTTTTAATATTACTTAAGTTTAAAGTATCATCTCCCAATATTTTCCCACTTTCCTGGTAGGATATGAGGCTGGCTAGAATTGAACAAATAAAGAGACAAAATCATTGTACAATTGTCTAAAATAGTACATCTAAAAAGAACTTTGGCAGATTCTAAGCAAATAAACTACAAAAATAAGATGGAAAGCCATTTAAAATGCTTGGATAATTCCAATTACTAGAAAGTACCCAATTCCAACTAACATGTGCCAAGGCAACTTATCTCCATTGGCAGATGAAACTATAATCTTTCTAGTACTAAAAATAATTTTATCATCCCATCATATGGGTGTTAGAAGACCTAGGGAAAAGCAAGCCAGGGTTCTGTGGGGAAAGGAGAACAAAAAAAACAACAACAAAAAGAGGAATATAATAAAGATATTTTCTCAGTTAAATTGTCTCTTGTGGAAGATATTGCTAAATACTTTTAGGATGGTAAAGATTATCTACTAGGAACTACCTTACTAGTCAATCTATATGCGCTACACCACATTCAAGTCATACTATCATTAAACAGAAAGACCTTTTTTTTTAAAAAAAAAAAAAACTAGATTCTTGACATATAAAACTCAATCTTTAGAATCTACAAATTATGGTAGATAGAAAAGTCTGAACTTTTATGGCCCAGCATTTATTTCTAAATAATTGATTTAGTACATGGAAGTCTGGATCAGTTGAGTTTGATGATTTTATCTATGCAGCAATAATAAAGCCTCATTTGCACAGTGCTTCTGAATTTGCAAATAACCTATCTTGTTTTATTTTCAAAACAATTCTGTTAGGAGGGAAGCATAGGACTATTATCTGTTAGAGGGATCTGAAGAATTAAATAATAGAAGAATTAATTAATAAATTAAATAGGAGCACTGAGTTCAAGCTCAGGTCTTCTGACTACTATTACATTATTTATCTCATAAAGCAGATATATAAAATAAATAACTATTTATTTTCACAATATTTCTTTTTGTTTTCAATATCCTTTAGCATTCTTGTGGACATGGTGAGGTACAGACAAAAATTTGCTGTCTTTAATGTTTTAATTCATTAAATGTTAAATGTATAGGAAAGTAATCTTCAGAACACTGAGCAAGATCTACTACAAAAGTAAAACTGCATTTTTTTTTTTAAGGAACAAGAGGGGAAAAATATTGTCAATCTCTGAAAAGAAAGAATTGAATGGAGGAATGAACCTATGCATTATTTACTTTGTTTTTCCTTATTGTTTTAGAACACTTCGTAGGTAAGAAATCATTTGAAAAATATATTGCACAGAATCAGAGGGAAAAGGGAAAATAAAATACAATAGAGGGGCCCATCAGGTGCACTGGACACTGATGAAAATGATCAAGTAACTCAAGGGCAGCGATGGGAGGGAGGGAATGAGAAAGAAAGAGGGAACAGCTAACACTAAGCAAAAGGAAAGAAATGTACGTATCACCCAACGTGAAAGAAATATTGAATTGTCAAAGCTTATAGAATTCACAGACTTTATAGATAAAGATAATGACAGTTTGCCTTGTGAAGGTTAAACTGTGTTTGTGACTTTAAGAATCACTATCCTACAATACTGTGAAATTTGTGTGATCACTTAATTTCAATAAAAAATTATTTTTAAAAATATACTATCAATGGAGAAGTAGTGAAGAGGCCTAAATTTAAGTAGGTCAATACCATTTAAAAGAATAGGTACTAGTAGTTTCAAAATGGCTTTTGGTGGTATATTCAAGTCTCATATCAGCAGAGGAAGCAAGTGTCTTACCAGTAACAACGTGGCTCCAAAGGCAAGGCAGAAAACCATGGGTCCTGCCAAGTCAGTCTCATTCATGATGCTGCCATCTGCTACTTTTAATGGATGCAGCACAGTCAGTGTTTTTTGCCAGATATGGTCAAAATTGATTCCCAGCTCTAAAAAACGGAAGTCAAGTAGGATTTATGACATAATTAATTTAACAGAAGCAATATTGGAGAGGGAAACAAAATGAAACACTAAGTACCTAAATAGGATCTAGTATCATTCAATGATACATCTTCAATGCCAGTCTCCACTGTTTGTGGTATTCCTCATACAATTAACTTCTGGTTTGGTATTAGAAACGATACAGAAGTGATAAAACCCTAACTACACCTCTCAGCTATGTCTGCTCAGAAAAAAATTATCTATCTATCTATCTATCTATCTATCTATCTATCTATCTATCTATCTATCTATCTATCTATCTATCTATCTATCTATCTATCTCAACAGTTTTAATAGTAAGGAACTCTTTACTTAGAAATTCAGAATATCCTGCAGGCCCTGTGAACAATATATAAAACTACATTCCTATAAATATTTAAGGGAACATTTATGGCTTTCATTTTATATTACAAGGGTACTTCAGCTATTAAAATTTCAGAACTTCTGCTTTACGTATTTGCAAGATAATTTGAAAATCACCGTATCATAAAGTAATCCCAGAAATTGCTAGTTTATTTTCATAGGAACAATGAAATACCATAGAATTCCTTTCACTTCCACAGACCAAATTTAATTAATAATCTAAAAGTCATATGCTAATATGTTCCCATATTAATACACTGTACTATCACTTTAGAAATCTAGAGCCCTCTGACCAAATGTCATTCATATACACATTGTTCAAAATGAATTACTTAATACAAAGCTTTTTCAACTCTAAGATTATTCTTTTAAAAGAAATGGTAATAGCTCCAGATTAAGATTTGTTTTTGATGACCAATTGGATACTACATAGCACATGTTGAACATCTCTACGGAAAACCCTGAAATCTGAAATGGTCTGAAATATAAAAATTTTCAACATTAATACCAAAAAGTCTGAAGGGACAACCAGTTTCCAGGTCCCATTCCTACTCTACAGAGTAGCCTTTACTTTCGCATTTCTAAATAAACTCTTTACAACTGTTTAAAAATAAAAAGTTCTAAATTGTGCAGCATTTCAGATTAGAGCTATTGAGCCAATAAAGGCTGTGAAAATTCAACATTTAAAAAACACTTCAAAATCTAAAATACTTCTGATCGAAAACATTTCAGAGAGGAGATAAGCAAACTGTACAACCTGTATAATTTTTACCTTCTAATAATGGTGGCTCATCCTCAAAGTTGTTTCCATAGAATGGCTGGCTTGTGGTTGGAGTATATGTCTGAGTTGGTTGATAAATCTGCCCAGTGTATGGCTGTTGTGGCTGCATCATGTCTGGAGGAACAAATCGGCCTTGTTGCGAGTAGTCATAGCCAGCATACTGTCTATATATCAAAGGAAATAAAAGTGGTCAGAAATATTCCAACCTCAACCATTAAAATTCCGTAAATCCTAAATGCTGATTTGATAGAGAATTCCTAGTCATGCAACTTCTAGACTAGCCACTTTGCTACCATCTGAATGGTTGAAATGATTATTATTAAATTGATCACTTACAACAAAGTCATCATGTTTTGTAGAAAATCTTGATGACAACAGTATTAACTTTTGCAACATTTAGGCAGTTCAAAAGTTACTAGACTTTAAATATTAGGAGATAAGCAAATAAAAACATAAACACCTGGTCTATTTTCCTTGCTTAATGATGGTACATAATATTAAGATTATGAAATAACTTGATGTTTCAGATGACAGATGAAAGCTTAGGATAATAGTCTTTGTACTACATGCTATATAAGTGGATATCCACTGAATCACCATTCTTCTTCACTCTTCATAGTACAATAATTTTTGACAAAATGATTAAATCTCTTCAATCAATATTAGCTGAGTATCATTGGTTCACACACATAATCCTAAGGAGGCAGAGACCTGGAAAATTACAGTTTGAAGCCAGCCTAGGCAGAAAAGTCAGTGGGACTCCCATCTCCAATTAACTAGCCAAAAGCTGGACTGGAGACATGGCTCAAGTGAAAGAGTGCTTTCTATGAGCAAGAAAGTTGAGCAAGAGCTGGTATTGGCGTGTACATATGGGATTTATGTCAAATTATTATTAGTATATATTATGTTTTAAAGAGTATTTAAAAATTTCAAAGTGGTCATATACATATAATCTTATTTGCATTATCATAAATTCTGCTTGCATAGTGAATAGTAGACAACTTTCTAGTAGGCATATTATGAAACTGCATCTTTAAATATGTTTCAACACCTTCTGGAACAATATCATTTATATACTAATGGGGCTAACTACATAGTAAGAAATAAAAGTAATTATTTAAAGGATACTTCTTTAAAGGAACTTATTTAAAGGAACCTGGGTAAAAATGTGAGACGTTACCTCAAAAATAACAAAAACAAAAAGATCTGGAAACCTGGTTCCAGTGGAAAGTACCAAACACTGGTACTTACAAAAAAAAAATACACTAGACCAACTCATGCTTATGTAAACACTATCTATTTTTTTGGCATATAATATGGTCCTCATGCTAATTATTATAATAACAAAATATAAAAATAGCTATAAGTACATATACTGTGATCAGTGCATGCAATAGATTACTATACTATTAAAAAGTCATTTTATAAATACTGATGAAGAATGATAAAAATGGAGCAATGTTCAAAATTGCAAACAATATATGCAACTAGAGTGACTGCTCTTTATAGAAAGTAAACACAAACATACACATATACTTGTATATACTTGTATAGTTCTGGAAGTATCCATTGTATATCACAAATATTCTTTCTGCTATACATGTAAACATGAAGTGCTAAATTTTTGGAATTTATATATATATATATATGTATATATATACATACATACATACATATATATATATATATATATACACATACATACATACATACATATATATATATATATATATATATATCCAACTGGAAACAGCATCAATATACTGTTGAATTAAATATCCTGTTACATTTAAAATGCACTGATCTATCTTTCTCCCTGAATGGATCCTTGACTCACGTATACTTCCTTTAAGGTCACAAATATTACCTTTAGTTATGCTATGTTTTAAAGTTTTACTCATGCCTCTTTCAAAACATGACATATTGAACTCTACAAGACTAAAAATCTTGTTTGTTAATATTACCCCTAATTTTATCAGAAAAGAAAAAGTTCAATTAGTAGGAAGCTGACAATTTCATAGTGACAAATCCTCATATTTACCTGAAGACTTGAAATTGGCCAGGGAAGACACATACTGCCAATTACTCTTTTGGAAACAATAAATCGTTTATTCATTTCTGAGAAACTATCTGACAAATACTCAAGTCTAACTAATCAGTTTATCTGCCAGCTGTTATTTCAAATAAAAAAAAGTACAAGTTTGGATTGGTACTCCAATTGCATGTGTTTCAGAACATCATAACTTCAGTATGGAACAGAAGTGCTAAGTCTGTTTCCCATACTGTCGCATAAAGAAATTAGTACAATGTAGGGTCAGGACTTAATGCTGACAATTATTGCTCTTTGTATCAAGATAATCTTTAAAGAAAACTAACTCATGGTAACCTCTGTGTGCAACATTAAAAAAAATAGTAAACAATTTGATATCAATTCTTGATTCATTCTCAAGTACCAGTGGTTTTACCAAATGTTGCAATATTAATGCAAATGTTAACCCTCCTAAAATGGTATAGGAAGTATTAGTATTGTTAGGAAAATAACTTTTGACCTTTGAGGCTTCCTAAAAACCTTCAAGAATCCTTAAGGTCTGTAGTCTACACTGAGAACTGTCAATATAATCCTATAAATTTCATATATGGAAGACAAATACTTGCAGATCATTTCAAAGATGGCATTATTATGCTAACTCCAAGATAGAATTTTACTATTGCCTTCTCGGTTAAGACCTCTTCAGGAAAAGTTCTGACTTGCTCCTGTTAATTTTAAACTAAACCATGTTATGGTTGACATGTTCTTTACAAAACCAACACTTCACAGAAGGAAAAGTAGCATATGCTAAATTACTCTTATAAGCACTCTGTATCAACAACAAAGAAAAGCCTCTTAACACAATGGCATAGGATGGCCCACTTATGTTCATGAAAATCCTCAGATATTCTGTAAGAATATAATAAGGTTAATCAAAGACAATACCATAATCATACTCCATAAGAATATCATGAGGTAATCAAAGACAAAACCATAATCTCTCTCAATATCCTTAAAAAACAAAACAAGTGGGCTGGGAAGGTGGCTCAGTGGTAGAGCGCTTGCCTTGCATGCATGATGCCCTGGGTTTGATTCCTCAGCACCACATAAGCAAAAAGAAAAAAGTCGGAAGTGGCGCTGTGGCTCAAGAGTGCTAGCCTTGAGCTGAATTGCTGAGGGACAGTGCCCAGGCCCAGAGTTCAGGCCCCTTGACAGGACCCCCCTGCCCCCCCCAAAAAAGAACAAGTGAATGGATGAAAGTCTGATATTAGTATATCTTTTCAAATTATATCTAGAAAGCAATGTGGGATTCATACACTATGATAACTGTGGAATTCCCATAAAAGGAAACCACAGAATGTTAAAAGTGACTGTAGAAATGTAAAACTAATATAAACTAGAAGACAATCTGAGTATTATGCTACTTGAACCTAGATTTTCAAACAGGGAGCTAAGCTTCTTGTTGCTTAGAGAACTGAGATGGTCATTTAAAATACCTTAAGGTTGTAGATCTATTTGCAATATAAAAGGGGGGGTGGGTAGGAAGCAGAAAGGTACAATTTTTTATAATGCCCAGAAACTCACACTACTGCTCATACATTTCACCTTTTGTTTTCCTAAGCATCAGCAACATCCATACTGCTAACTGGAAGTAATGGTCACTAAGTATCTAGAATAAAACTTCTTCACTAGTATTGAAGCAATGTTTACTGTTACATGATTTGTTTAGAATGGAATTGTGAGAATAATTAGCAAAAGAATGTATCTACACAACTACTATGTAGAGACCCAAATTAGATGATTACAGATGAAATAAAGAGGGCAAGCCACACATTTAAATGATACAAATAAAGTCAGGACAGAAACATAGAGACAAACTCAGGAGATTTCAATCTAAGTGGAATTCTGTTGAATCTAAGGATAAAGATCATTTTGTAAAAAACTGACAGGTTCTCCAAAGGCCTACTACTTATATACACAAGGATTTTGCAGATGTATTCTAGCTAATGTTGTAATCATTTTCCCTAACACACACACAACAATCATCAAAATATATTTAGGCATTAAACATATTTAGGCAAATAAATTAAGGAAATCTCCATGATTTTTCTAATTCTTCCCAATGAATTGCTTAAAGAGATAAATCCTCTTTGGTATGTAAATGAAAATTTAAACGAAAGAAAAAAAAAGTAATGCATAGGAGATATACATGCTCAGTCCATTTGTTCAACAAGTTAAATTTGGTACATATTTCATTCAAACCAAGCATATTCGAATAAGCTAGGATTATAAAAATGATAACCTATGCAAACAAATGTGTGGCACATTCATTCAGCTAAATTAATTAGAAGGACTCTTTCTGTATTCTTCTTATTGACTGACTAGGTATACAATCTCCTTTGCAGTTTTTCTGGGATAGTCTTCATGAAGTCTGAAATTGAGAATCCATAGAGAAACAGATGACACACAAATTGCATGAAGTTACACACACCCTTAAGAGAGTGGTTAATGACTATAGAGATGTATTTCCAGAAAATAGGCCCATAGTGTTCATAAGATGTCTTAGATTGCCTTCAGTTAATTTTTTTTGCCACAAATACCAGATACTATAAAAAGATAACTTTACTTTTAATAGTTTAGAGCTTCTTCAATCAACAACTAGTAGCTTCTGTAAGACTAGTCATAATTTTGCTATACAAAGAGGTTAAAAATGCTTTATTAAAGTCACAACCTTAAATTATCAAACAGTGTCATGAAGCACTCTCCGTTTTAGTTGACAAAGTAAGAATTGTACCTATCTAACTAACAAACAAGTTTTCAAGCTGAGAGACAGTGCCCAGACCCAGAGTTCAGGCCCCACGACCGACCAAAAAAAAATAAAAACAAAAAAACAAATCTTCAAAAACATCTTAATTCTTACTGGTTTGTGTTTATTTAGCTACCTGAAGTTCTCAAATGATTTGGAAATACTATTATTACTGGACGAGCTACTTTTCCTCCCCCAGGACACCTGGAGGTTTTGCAGACGACACCCAATTTTACACAGAGCGATCCCAAAGAAGATTAAGAAAAATAAAGTGCCTAAAAAGGGTTAATGTTTACAAAGTCAATTTGGGGCAGAAGCAGACATCCTAAATACGTGTTTCTCAAAGATATAAATTAATCATAACTGCCACAGTTGTACAGTTACTTGCTATAAGGTCCTCCACTTCCTCCATAATCATAGGTCTGCTGAGACTGGTCATCGATGCTGTAACTGGTCTGGAAGAAATCCGGGCTCACGTTATCAAAGCCCGACATGGCAAACGACCTGTAACGAAAGGGAAATGGCAAACACCTGTTTACACCCAAGGTCCTCCTCGATTCGTTCCTGGCCCCCTGCTTAAAGCAAATACATCTGCAAGGCAAGGGACGTTTCTTGTGTAATTGTAGGGGCCCTGCGCTGGAAGGGAAAGGGTCTGGTCTTCAAGCTGAGCCGCAGAGGGCACCGAGATCTCACGGGGCCCAGGAGCCTCCTCAGGACGAGTCTTGGGAGGAGGAGGAGCTCTGCAGGGAACTGATGCTACCAGACCAGGATGGCTGGCTGCTCCCCTGGAGACGGAGCTTCGCAGAGGACAGGGCCCGCAGGCCCCTGGCGAAGGAGGGGTGGGGGGGGAGGTCCCGGCCTGGGCAGGAGAGCGCGGACCCCCCCCGAGCGCGCAGACCCCTGCGGGTCGCGGCCAGGCCCAAGGCGCGGAGCCCTGGAGGTGGCGGCCGGCCCGGAGAGCGCAGACCCCCGCGGGTCCCTGCCAGGACGCAGGGCGCGGGCCCTGGGGGGCGAGGCCGACTCCGGACAGGACACAGCGGATCCCGGAGAGAGCGCAGACCCCACGGGGGTCGCGGCCTGGAGGCGGGGCCGCGTCAGGACAGGGACCCGAGGGAGCGAGGCAGGGGTGGGTCGGGGCCGGGGCGGCGCGGCGCCCCAGCGGAGCCGCACCGCTGCGGACAGGCTCCAAACACTGTGACGCGGGCTCGGGACACTTACCCGACGCGGAGGCGGCGGAGGCGGAGGCGGCGGCGGGGTTTCCAGAGGCCCCGAGTAACCTCCAAACTCAATTCCAGACCCAGTACAAGCCCGGTTGCTACGTGTCACCGCTCCAAAGAACTGCTTCCGGGGCACGCCTGCCCGCCCAGGCGCTGTGGACATAGTCGGCTTTCTCCTCCTGGGTTGGACACCGGGTGTGAAAGTGGGCGGGATCCTGATTCCGGGCATGCGTTTTATGGATTGGCTCTGAGAATGACCAATAGGAAGCGGGAAAGTGCTTCCGGCAGCCTGGTCCGCAGTGAAGACAGAAAGGCGCAGGCGCAGGGGCAGGAGCCAGAGCCCCTCCCAGCCGAGCTATCCAGGGAAAGGCGGGAAAGTGGGGGAGCTAGGGTGGAAAGTGAAGGCTGGAAAGCTGGGCAGCTGAGAAACGGAAGCCATGGACCTCTTCCTCGGTCTGCAAACCTGATGGCTGCAGCCTCCTGGGTCGGACCGCGGTCTGGGAGTTTATGCATATTATTGAATCATTTCGACCTCACGAGGTGGTGACCCCTCTGACGTTTCATTCATTCTGTGCTAGTTGCTAGGTAGACCAAAGTGAACCCAAGGTAGGTGTTATCCGACCTGGGTGAAGGGGGGAAACCCCATAGATTCCTGGAAGATAATTCATGCCCCTACTCATAGTTCTTGGAAAGGTGTGATCTTCTCTTGAAGGAATCAGGGAAGCCGCTGTGAGGGTGATGGTGAGGTGGGAAGGATAGAAGACAATGCAGAGCTGGGCTCTTCAGGGCCCAGAAAGTGGCCTGTGCAAAATCTGGCTTGAGCAACAAAACCCCGTATGAAAGAAGGTGTAGATCAAGGCTTCTGCACCTCTGCATTGCTGATATTTTGGTCCAGAAGATTTTTTTTTCCGGGAGGAGGGACCTCTTGAGCTTTCTGCTTTTAGTGAATGTTTTGAAACTTTCCATCCAGCAATTTGATTTTCTGGAGGCACTCTCCAGCCTGTTTGTTTTTTATGCCTGTGCCCTCAATATAATTACAATATATGCAATGTGCTGCATATAATATATAAAATATACTAAGTATTAATATATACAATATATATTATGCTATGTATAATATACTCTATATGCTATATATATATTATATATAGTTATATATAATATACTATGTACAATCTATTCTATATAGTATATCTATAAGTATATAGAGTATATTATTATAATAGTATACCAGTTTGGTTGATAGTTACATAATTTAAGCTACATTATCCAGGAGGCTTAGTTTTTAGTTATCCATGCATATAGTGATTCATCACTTTATCCACTTGGTGATATTATGGCTGAAAAAATTTTTCTAGTCTCTCATTATTCTTCTGATATTTCTATTTCTTCCTTTTCAAAAGAGACATCGCGTTAAACATTGTCTAAATGTGAATGAATTGTTGAGTAGAAATGTAATTCTACTTCTGTCTTGAAAGCAGTTATAGTTACTTAAATTTAGTCTCCAACACTTTCTCCAGTTGAGAAGCCAAGCAGGGAAATTGAGTTACCTAATGAAAATTTTTATATTGTTTGTTTGATTTTGGCACACAAGGCCATGTATCCTGCAGAAGTCCCCTGGAGATTTTGAGAACATCAGTTTATTTTATGGCAAGCCATATTATAGGCCTCTTCTTTGGAAAATTTTTTGATGTTGCTTCCTCACTCTGGGACAGGCTCCAAAAAGTTATATGAAAAGAAACTGGTAATTGTACTCACTTCTGTTAAAGTCATTGAGCTGGGTGTTTTAGGAGTAGAAAACCTGACCCAGGTCAGAAGTTTATAGAACATGATGTGGGGCTGGACCTACTGCTCTATTCATGCTCCAAAACCTTATAGACCAATCAGCAAACCTGTAACAAAAAATGGAAAGAATATTCTGATTATCAATAAAATTTTAAAATAGCTTAATAGTCATGCTAATGTAAAGACTGCTACTTTTAATGCTTCACAAGCACAACACTCCATTGTCTTGGGAAGTCAGTGAAATTGAAAGTATTTTAGAGCTGCCTAATTCCCCCCTCTGATTTATACAGGGAGGATTGTACCAGAAAATTACAGTGCAAATATGGGCAGTTTTCCCTTACTTTCAATGATGTTCACCACCATCAATTAGAGACTTGGCAGCTGTGCCTGTATCGTGTCATGTCCCACAAGGGAATCTGATAATAGCAGCTAAGACCAATATAATCAGCCAGTGTCTGTTTTTACTCTCACTGTATACTAATATAACTTCACATCCCCCAAAAGCAAACTGTATTTTCCCAAAATTATCCTTTATTCTTTAAAAAAGTTTCCTCATGCAGTTTACTATATTAAACATGTTATACAGATTCCAATTCTTATATTTTCCTTTTACTAAATTATTTGGTAAGACAAATTCACTTGAAATAATATTGGATGTTAGACTGGATTTTTTTCACATATATTTTTTATTGTAAAAATACTGTACACAGGGGTGACAGTTGCATGAGTAGGGTAATGAGTACATTTCCTACCAAGCATTGTTACCTCCTCCTTTATTTTTACCCTACCATCCCTTCCCTACCCACTTCCCCAACTCCCTCCCCCCCACTGAAATTGTAAAGTTCTTTTTGCAAATAGTGTCTTGTACATCTCATTGTTACAATGGGTCAGCCTGTATCCTTATTTAAGCATTTTGATATATCCCTTGCCCTCCCGAAATTATAAAAATGTATATACAAGATGCAGGACATTGGAATAAAATACAGTGAAAACAGGGGTTATAACACGGGGGAAGAACATACAAAAGAAACAAAAGAATCATTTTACATACATTAAAAACACTAGCAAGAAAGAAAAATACCACTTGTGCCCCAGTCTTGGGGTTCATTCGCTTAACGTCATCTTATATGGTCATATATACATAGCTTTTGACCTTTTTCTGCTTGTCCTAGACATGTACTAGTTATTGCAAATAAGAGAAAACATGGGGCCTAAGTTTCTTTGGCCTGGCTGACTTCACTTGATACAATTTTTACCAAGTCTTTCCATTTCCTAATAAATGGGGTGATCTCATATTTTCTGATAGAGGCATAGAATTCCATTGTGTGTGTGTGTGTGTGTGTGTGTGTGTGTGTGTGTGTGTGTACCACATTTTCTTGATCCATTCATCTACTGAGGGGCATCTGGTTGGTTCCTTATCTTAGCTATGGTAGATAATGCTGCAATAAACATGGTTGTGCTGATACCTTTGGTATGACCTTGTTTGTGATCGTTTGGGTAAATGCCCAAAAGTGGGATTGCTGGGTCATAGGGGAGCTCTATGTGGAGTCTTTTGAGGAACTTTCATACTGTTTTTCAAAGTGGCTGAACAAGTTACCCTCCCACCAAGAATGTAGTAGGGTTCCCTTTGGGCACATCCACTCCATCTGTTGTTATTGGATTTCTTGATTATAGCCATTCTCACTGGGGTGAGGTGGAATCTCACTGTTGTCTTAATTTGCATTTCTTTTATGGCTAGAGAAGTTGAGCATTTCTTCATGTGTCTATTGGACATTCTTATTCCCTCTTTAGCCCACTTATTAATCTGGAGGTTGTTTCTTTGAGGATTTGTTGTTGGATTTAATTTTTTGAGTTCTAAGTATGTTTTAGATATGAGAACCTTGTCCGTTGTATGCCTAGTGAAGATCATCTCCCAGTCTGTGGGCTTTCTATTGATCTTGCTAGCTATGTCCTTTGCCATGCAGAAGCTCTGCAGTTCCATGCAATCCCATTTGTCCAACCCTTCTTTGATTTGTTGTGTTTCTGGGTCTCTATTAAGAATATTTCAGCCTGTGCTAAGAAGCCCTAGAATTTCTCCAATTCCTTCCTGTAATGTTTTCAGGATGTCTGCTTTGACTTCAAGGTCTTTGATCCATTTGGAGTTGATTCTGGTGCAGTGTGATATATAAGGATATATCTTTAGTTTTCTACAGGTGTTTAACCAATTTTGCCAGCACCATTTACTGAAGAGACTGTCTTTCTTCAATTCTATTTTTTTAGCTACCTTGTCAAAGATGAGGTGGCTATAAGTCTGTAAGTTCATTTCTGGGTCTTCAGTCCTATTCCATTGGTCCTCAGGTCTGATCTTGTGCCAGTACAAGCTGTTTTGATTACTATGGCTTTGTAGTAAAGGTTGAAATTTGGAATTGATATTCCCCCAGAACTGTTCTTTCTGCTAAGGATTATTTTTGGTATTATGGATCTTTTATTGTTCCATATGAATTTTTGGATTGCTTCTTCTATTTCCTTGAAGAATGAGGTTGGGATATTGATAATGTTGCATTAAATTTGTATATAGCCTTTGGCAGTAGTGCCATTTTCATGATGTTAATCCTCCCAATCCAGGAGCCTGGGAGGTTTTCCCACTTGCTTAGTTCTGCTTTAATTTCGTTTTTCAGGTTTTATTTTTTATCAGGTCTTCAGCTCAAGGCTAGTATTCTACTACTTGAGACACTGCACCACTTCCAGTTTATCTGGTGGTTTTTTGGAAGTTAGAGTCTCAGGGACTTTGCTGCCCCAGATGGCTTTGAACCGCAATCCTCAGATCTCAGCCTCCCAAGTAGCTTAGATTATAGGCATGAGCCACCTGCACTCAGCAGGTTTTTAAAGTTTTCATCAGAGAGGTCCTTCCCCTGTTTAGTATTAACTCCTAGGTATTTTATTTTTTGTGGGGCTATCACAGAAGGGGTTGCTTTCCTAATTTCGGCCACACTCTTCTCATTATTGGCATACTGAAAAGCCATTGATTTCTGAGGATTAATTTTATACCCTGCTACTTTGCCAAAGTTTCGATCAGCTCAAGTAATTTGGGAGTAGAATCCATGGGATTCTTTAAATACAAGATCATGCCATCTGCCAAGAGGGAGAGTTTTACTTCATTTTTCCTGTTTGGATCCCTTTTATGTTTGCATCTTTTCTTATTGCTGTAGCTAGGCATTCTAATACTAGTTGAAGAGGAGTGAGAGAGTGGACATCCTTTTCTCGTTCTTGAATTTAGAGGAAATGGCTTCAACTTTTCTCCATAAATATAATGCTGGCTGTAGGTTTGTCATACACAGCGTTTATTATATTGGGGAA